TTACACTCTCTCTCAGGCCTTCCCTCGAAGCTCATGAGAAATATAGAAATATAGAGAAATTGCAAGACAGTAAAAATGGCAAAAAAGAAAGGAAGAAAAAATAAAGACAATAATGATGATGATAATGATAATGATAATATAGATGATAATGATAATAATAAGAAGAAAAAGAAAAAGAAAAAAGAAACAAAGAAGAAAAAGGGGAAACGAAAGATAGAGATATACAGAGAGAGAGAGCAAGAGGAACAAGCAAGAGAGAGAACTAAAATGTTGAAATCTAACTCACCTGTTGCATGGTTTGGCATGGTGGGAAGAGATCCTTTCATGAGTAGATAGATACCTGATATTACACATAGTTACCTTTGAAATATGAGGTGCTAATTTCATGTCAAGGATCATAGTTGTGATGACTCCTCAAAAGTGTAAAATAGCTCTATAAGGTTTAAGCTAATTTTAAGGTCATAAATGTCAAAATGTAAAAGAATTATCATAGTTTTGTAAAATAGTCAAAATTTAAAGTGGTTATAATTTTAAAAGTTCAACAACTCCAAGCTATTACTCATACTTATGACAGGAGGTTACCCAAGACCAATCCAGCAATTAGCACATTGACAGGATCTGGTGAAAAGGCCAACTGGGACATCAGTAGAAACATATATGAATATATATATATATATATATATATATATATATATATATATATATATATATATATTTTTTTTTTTTTTTAGATTAAAGTGGACTTTCTTAAAACTTATGAATAAGAAAACTCTATAAAAATAGAATTCATTATCTAATGGGGCATGAAAATATATATATATATTTTTTTTTTTGTATATGTTTCATCATTGAACTAAGAATTATTGTCTACTCTATTTCATCAGAAAGCGTGACTAAAAGAACTCCTTTAAAGCTTTACTAAGACTATTCAGAATGCTGTTATGCATTCCCAAAAGGTATTTGTACCTAATTTACTTTTTCATAGCAAAAATGAAAAATGTAATAATTAGTATTTAAATTGTAGACAAAATAGAATTTGTTCTTAATATTCTTATAGATGGATGTTCAATGTTTATGCCAAAAGATTTATACTTCTTGATGTTATTATCTAGTGATACTTACCATTTCTATATGGGGTTGAAGTAGTTTCAGAGCTGCTTTCTAAGTGATTGCAGTAAGAAGTTTATTAATTTGTAAGTGGAGGACAGTTTTAATGTCTAAATGCACAAGCAGCATGTCCTTACTCTGCTTAACATATGGACTTCATACATAAACATTTACTTATTAAATGTATAAAAACTTATTGACCTTTTCACAAAGGATGGTGCCACATCGCATCATCGGGAAAAATCCTAGATGCTGGTTGATACCTAGTTGCATCATGAGTCTGTTTCCCAGTGGCCAGGATAACAGCTTGTGAGTTCACCTGAGAGCCAGACAATCACCAAGGTGCAGAGTACTGTGCACTAATTCCACCTGTCCTCACCAAACTTTACTGGAAGTTTTACTTATAGTGAATGAGTTTAATGGTGTTTTTTATTATTAATAACTAGAAAGATTTTCTTCCAGATTATTTCTACATTACATTCTTTTTACAATTAAGGTATATTTTGTAGCTACTGGTATCGCTCGTGGAGTCCAGCCTGGAGTTGGTGTCCGACCAGTTATGTATAGTGTATCTACGTCAGAAGTTACTCGAACTGTTACTACTGCGGCTAAAAGTTATAGGTAAGTTCAATTAAGTAGTTTTTATGGGGGTTTATGTGGTTGATTGTATATATCAAGCAGCAATCTTTTATTGCCAAATATCAGACAAGTTAAAGAGATGACTACACTAAAAGTCTGATGTATGGCAATAGATGACCTTGTTTTGGGCTATACAAACAGTCGCTAAAAATCATCCCATTTAGCACTATGTGGGATAGAAATCTGTGAAACCTGTAAGTGCCCACAGGTCCCCTGTCTATTCCCAGTGTTTTTTTTTTATTTTTTATTTAATTTTTTGTACTTCTCTAACATCTGCCACAATACTCGTTCATCCCTCTCAATTACAACCCACATGGTCTGCCAGTGGCTTCTCAATGATGTAATGCATCTGAATCATTAATTCCTTTTAAAAAATTCTGTAGAAGTCATTTTGCATTACATGGTAACTCCTCTGTTCATTGTTCTGACAAGACTTACGGGTGACTTGCATTGTGTGTTTGTGATGGCACATTGTTTGCAGTGTATATAATTTTTTTTTTTTCTCACTAAGAATGAATGGCTGTAAAAATGTGATTGATCAGTAAGTATGTTTATAAATGAATAGTTTACTATGCAGTTGTAAAGGCTTTACTCTTTTTAGATTAATTTTAGCTCATAGGAAAATGGCATCCAAGTGTAAAGCATATATTTGTAAACTTTGAATCCTTTTAAATAACATAAATAGAACAGTATGAAATGCCCAAAGTCAGTGCCAAGTTTTGATAATTATTATATAGTAAACAGCTCCTTTTAACACAGCACACTAGTCAGGGCTGGGTTATTTATATATTATCATTTGAAAATCTGTATCCTATTGCCATTGACAAGTATTTAAGGTTAATTTTTTTATGTTTGTACAGTAAAAAGTTTTTTATTTATGTGGATAGAAGCCACTATGTCTTCTTTGAATCATGATAGCCATATGATATCTAGAACATCTCTAGAAAAAAATAAAAGATGTGAAGTTGTGCCCATGATGTGACAGACTGATTCGCACTGGCAATTCAGTCCAAATTTGGCACAGGTAGTGGGATTCAACTAGGTTCCTCCTGAGCAGAAAGTACTCTGGTTTGTGACTGAACTTGGCACATTCCTGAAGGTGCCCATTATCCCAGACCATTTCCTGAGCAGCCATGCCATTCAACTTTCAACCAGGGAACCTAAAGGGGGCCATTCACTAAAAAGCATTCTATAGACAAATTGATTAAAAGTCCATGTAGATAGCTTTTAGGCAGAAGAAGCTTGTATATCAAACAGAACAACAAAGCTTTGTAACAGCTATACTTATACTATAATGTCCATAGGAAGGAGATAAGCTTCATGAAAATATAATAAAAGAACTCTGTACTTATATTGAGTTGAAATATGCTTGTTTCAAAAGATAGATAGCTAGAATAAAAAATCAGGTGGTAATATATTGGCAACTCAGACATGCCAAAATCATGGAGAGTAGGAGAAAATTTGTTATGTGTGCTTGATTTTTTTTTACTCGAGACTAACTGTGTATGGTACCCGACATGTGGCATGAAATTCCATAGGTAAAACCTGTCACCATCGGGTTAGTCATAGACTAACTTGGCAAGTTAAATAGATTAATGAAGTTATATGAAGGACATTTTAATTTCTGTCCATTGAAGGGAAATTTCATATAATGAATAAAGAATAAGGGTGTTTATTTAAGGATATCACCACAATAGTTTTAGGCTGATGGAATATTGAGCTATTGTGATTCTACTATGGTTACATGATATAGAGCCCAAGGACCATGCAGTGCCAGTGACCATGTAAAAGAAACAGAAAAACATATTGAAAGTTTCTTAATGTCGAAAATATCAAAGCTGAGGAATATTATAGGCATTCTATTAGTTTTTCTTTACTATGCACTTAAAAAGAACTCTCCTACAAAACATGGGTTCATCTTGAAGTAAAAAATATAGACAGAGTTAACTCTTAACTACATAATGTAGTAAGCTAACAATTCCTCAACCTTTCGAGTTGTTGCAGTTGATTTTTTAAGTGTTTGGCATCTTGAGTATTTTTCCATGGAATGGCAAACTTGAATGACATGCTGTTACTTAACCCATTCGTCCCGGGTGTCACATATATGAGACACAGGGAAAAAATAAACAGTTTCGGGCTGCCCGCCAGTTAGTGCATGCAGCGTGCTCCGCGGATTTTGTAGCTTCCCGGATTTTTTTAATTTTGGCTATAAAATGTACCCCGTCGCGGGTGGGTTAAGAAGGCTTTATTTTGATGTATCTGCAAATAGTACTCAAAGGATTAACAAAACAGTTCAATTTGGCTCACCATGTGCAGATAATGCAGAGACTGTTGACCTATGAAGGAGATTAACCCACTTACGACTGGTGTCATACATATGAGACACCTGGAAAAGTAAACATTACTGGGTCTCACACTGGTGCAACACTAAATTGGAGCTTGTGCTCTGACTTTGTCTCCCGTGGCGGGCAGTGTGCTGGCAGGGTGCCGGACTCGCCTGAGCGCCGATTTTGAAAACATCCCGAAAATAATATTTTCATCTTGAAAATGTACCGTGGCTAATGGGTTAACAAGGAATGGTATGAATTGGCCCTCCACATTATCCTAAGAAGAAGGATAGGGTAGTGTTTGGATGAAGGAAAGATAGGAATGATAGGAAAAGTGGGACTGGATTGCAAACTCCAATTTACTTTCTTTGGCCAGTTATCAAGTGTTTGGAGGAACAGTGAAGAGTATTGTGTATGATGAATCTTGCACAGGAAACAGTCAAGATGAATGTATAATACCTTTTTAGATAATAGGAATGTCAACCATGTTGTAAGGACTACAGAATCCACTTGATTAGCTTAACAGAAAAGGGATTGATGAATATAGTGGTAGGTATAACGGTTTCAACCAACATCACAAAATGTACTTATGAGGTTTTATTGGCCTCATATTACATATTCAATTTCCATGGCAACTAGAGGCTAGAAGATTGTCAATCCACATTTTTAAACAAAGTATTGAAAGCTTGATAGAAAAAATAAGATGAAAGTTATGTTGAAGTTTATATTCTTTGTACCCCTTTTGTTCTGTAACCCACTCAGGCCCGATGCGTTCACATCACATCATGGTGTAACAGCCACTAATGCCAGGTGCCATCTTATCAGGCCATGCAAGATCGAGTCTGCTCTAAGATGTGCAGGGTAAACTTTTATTTACTTGTTTGGAACTGGGACTGGCCATGGTCAGTGTGGATAAACCATTCAAAAGCAGGCCAAAAGCCTCTTTTTAACTTCATTTCATAAACAGTTATATAAGATACAGCCAAAAGTATAGAGAGCAGGGTAGATACATGTTTTCTGCACTACTAATATTTCGCTCAAGCAGATGACGGTGTCAGATCCCTGGCATGTGTCTCAGTATGGCATAGGGAAATCCAGTCATGAGAGGATAAAATTGATTTTCATTTATGATTTTTTGGTGCAAGATTATTCATAACATGGAACCCAGCCCTAAGGCTAGTAACACGTTAGAGTTGACCCCCTATAGATCTTGTTGTATTTTCTCTCAGTCTTGGAACTGTTAGGGAGGACTGCCTGTTAATAGGTGACCAATCATCATCTGTAAAAACTTTGTTGTCAGCTTGGCTGGTGAACAGAATCTTTCACTCACTATCATGTGTTCTCATGTACTTTTCATAATGCTTTAATCACCATTTAGATTTTTTAAGCATGTGTGTGAGTGCTTTATCAAATGTTATAGGTGAAGTTTAGTAGCAGTTTTGCAAGGATGTTATAGGTTATTGTAAAGTGGAGCAGTTACATAGTGAGTGAGGTAAGTAGAGTGGAATATATTTAAGATGTGTAATTTGTATCAGAATATGTATGGCTGAGTGTGTGCTTGTGTGTATGTTTGTAAGTATGTTTTGTCTTATGAAATAAGGTCTTCTATTGACTCCTTTTGTACTTGAGTAACACCCAATTCTGACCAGAAAGTGTCTCAAGAGTATACAGTAGAGTGTTGATGCAAGCCTGCATGACTATCACTTGAGTCTTGATCATGACTGCATTTGTGTGGGTGTTGCTGAGCACTGATCACCTGTTGTCCGAGTATCACTGAGTATTGACCTGAGTTATGTCCCGGCAGCCAGCAGCAGACACAAGACTATAGCCAGGGTATGTTGTCATTTTATCTTCTATGTGGCTTCATTCATGGAGAGTAACTCACCCATGTATTGCTCGTAACAGATTTAAGTTTACCTGTTGTTTTTCTCCTTGATTTTCTCTTACAGTATTTTGAATATTTTTCCCATTTAAAGATATTTTGCTGTGCTGTGTATATTTGGAGTTGAGAAGTGAGCATTTCATATTTCTATTTTTTGAATTTTTTGGAAATGTGAAACATTGATTGGCCTTGCTTCGACATTGATTATAAGTCTACCCTAGATTTAAGTACACTCATCTATTTTGACATTTATTTTTTTATTTTCAGCGTAAGTGAAAGTGAGGGTGGATGGACAGGCAGTGGTGAAGGTGAGGGTACCACCAATGCACAAAGTGGAGTAGCAGGCACTGTGGAGCGTGGATTGGTACGGGTTACTGGGCCTGGAGACGTTCGAGGCCAAGCTCAAGTGGTGCAAGTGACTCCACGGGTCAATGTTTCTGCATCACCTGGCACGAAGGTCATCACCACAACCCATGGGGGAAAGGTGACCTTCCATGTCACCACAAATGCTCCCACCTCAACAGCCACATCTGCTTCATCAGCATCCAATGGTCAGCAACAACAGCAGGTCCCTCCACAAACAATGACGGTGACCAAGAAGCCACCCCCCCCAGCCAGATCTACTCAGCCTGGGGGACCACCACCACCTGTACCCTCAAACAAACCATTGGCAGCACCCCCTATACCCCCAAACAAACCAGCAGTTCCCCCAAAGAAAGACTTGGTGACACGTGTAGGGGCTGGGGGCCAAGGTGTGTCAGTAGAACCTGGAACACCAATCAGTGTAGAGGTTAAACCACAGAAGGTTGGGCCTCAGACAGTCAAATTTGGCATCACAATATCAAAGACACCAGCCAGTGGGAGCCAGACAATAGGCTCTGGTGGTGGTAGTAGTCAAGCAGTGGTTGGTGTGGGGCCAGGGGGATCAGGGGGGGGCTCTGAGGCTCCCGTTGCCCCAGCAGTGGAAGGGGGAGCAGTGTCCCCAAGGAGAGACGCGGCGCAGGTTGGTGGAGGAGGTCCCCCGGTGCATGCCACTGCCTGTGTGGACTCCCTCTCTCCTGAACTAGAGCACTTCCACCAGTTACTCATTAGCATGGCAGGTAATGCAGCAGCACAGCCTCACAAAGCCACATTCACCAGTTTTCAACTCTGCAAAGTTGTAATTTTGTCAACATTTTATGTTGCTTATAAACCAAATAAATATAATGGATTCAGTAGTTATCCCAGAAAATGTAAGCTAATGTGTTGAAAACTGGATTTTTTTTTTTTTATCTAATGGACATATGAAGGGGTCAACCAAAGAAAGTAGTACTTACTGTTCATATATTATATTTTACCTTAGGTCTTTTCCAGCTTCTTAAGCATATGAAAGACTCAGGTAATTAAGTATTTATGGCTTTGTGAATAAGCTTGGCATGCAGATATTTTTTCTGAATTATTGAGTGTATATGTTGTGCATGATTAGGATCTTTTAGCAGTTGCATCAGTTTTTATATGGCAGTAATTTTTATGAGAAAGATTGGTATTATTTTGATTCTTCACTTGTATGGATTTTTTTTTTTTAAGATTCCATTTTGTGGCAGGCAGTGAATATGGATTCCAAGGTGTGAACACATTTTGTTGCATATTTTTTGTGCACATGATCTTAGAGAGTAAAATGTTTCATGTGTTGTAATTTCCATCAAAGTGAAGAGCATTTCCTATTTTGACTTTTAGTGAAGTATCAAAATGATAGTATATTTTCACATTTTCTGTCATATGGGTCAGAGTGTAGCTTTTTGAGTTGAAAGTAAATGCAACAATATTTCCTATGAAAGCTATCTACATTCATGAAAACAGTTTTATTACTTTTGAGATCTGTTTCTATGTAAGTATAGTATGACATTTTCCTTTGATTAGCACTTATTGAAATGTTAAACAAATTAAGAAACGATTACCTTCCCTCAAGACATGAATAACTGGAAAAACTTTAAAGCTCCCTTCAGAGTCATAACATAATGTGTTATGATTATTAAAAAAATATGATCTGCTGAGCAGGTGTGAGGTGAATGTCATTTAGTTCTTTGGAAATTTCTCTTACTATATGAGTACTCTCAAAATGCTACCAAAAATAAGCAGTCAGTGATTTTTATATAGATACAGAGCCACATTTGATTACTTAAGATATAGAATCTTACACAAATAAAAACTTAAAGTTAGAAGGATACCAGTAATTGTTGCATTTGATATATAATAAATTTTGTAAAGGAGCAATGAAAATCACTAAGTGCTTGTTTAAGACCAATTTCAGATATTTGAATCCAAGATACTAGGCTAAAACTTGGCGACATATAGGACAGTTGGCCAGTGGTGCAGGAGCCCTCAAATATCACAGTATTATGTTTTAACAGTCTTTAACATTGATAAGGACTTTGCAAATGTGTGTTTGCATGTTGTGCATGAGAGTGAGTGAATGTTGCATTGGTCCTCTTGATAACTGTCCTGACTAGAAATACTAGAATGAGATAGTGCAAAAGCGAGACCAAGGAAGCGTGACAGAGGTCTTCATTGAAAGATTATATTGTCTCTATTTCAGAGTATGTTTTCAAGATTGTTATTGGGCTATTTGTTTGGAAGCTATTTAGTTAGTTCAGCTTTTTAAAAAAGTTATGAGGTAACTAGCAGATCAGTAATAATAGTCAGTGATAGCAGTCATACTATGAACAGAATAACTGGCATAAGGTATTTGATAGACAGCACTATTGCTGTTTTCTAGTGCTTGATGATAAGGATGTTGTGTGTATTTTTGTTGCGATTTAACACTGAAGGATAATTGGTAATATTTTGTAAGAAAGAACATGGATTTTTTTTTCTGAAGTATCAACCCATTCAGACCAGGTATTGTCCTGTCTCATAATAGCAAAATTTCAGTATTGTCTAATCACATTTTGAATTGAGCTCCCAGCTTATGGGATGACATCTTAGGAATGCTGGCTGGGAGCTGAAGCAGTGTATTGATGCACCCTGGCATCATTCTCTCTCTCTCTCTCTCTCTCTCTCTCTCTCTCTCTCTCTCTCTCTCTCTCTCTCTCTCTCTCTCTGTGTGTGTGTGTGTGTGGTGTGTGTGTGTGTGTGTGTGTTGTGTGTGTGTGTGTGTGTGTGTGAGAGAGAGAGAGAGAGAGAGAGAGAGAGAGAGAGAGAGAGAGAGAGAGAGAGAGAGAGAGAGAGAGAGAGAGAGAGAGAGAGAGACTCTGTGTGACTCTGTGACTCTGTGTGACTCTGTGTGACTCTGTGTGACTCTGTGTTTGACTTTGTGTGTCTGTGTTATTTAATTATTTATATTAGTATTTTGTTTCTATATGTATGTATGTGTTTTTTTTTTTTTTTTTTCTTTCTTTCTTTCTTTCTTTTTTTCCCTTTTTTTCTGAAATGTTTATGCAAAGGTGGCTTTACAAGTACTTTCTCACTAAGAAGTCAATCACTAGTCTTATCTCATTCCTTGACGTTTTCAGGAAAAAATATGATTATCTTTGATGACATTTTTATTATTTTTATCATTCTTCTTATCATGTTATGAACAGTAATAAATGTGATAGAATTAAATATTATTCTGATAAAATATTGAAGATTTAGCAAACAAGTGCAGTCAAGAGAGCATAGTAAATAACTTCTGGGTGAATCAGTGCTTTTGGAGCTGTCTTTGTAAATAAAAGCAGCTATGGACATTGCATGTATACATGCACTTTTGGCATCACCAGGTTAACAACAGAACTAAAGAGAAAAAGTAGGGATGAAGTGCAGTTTGAGAGCCCTATGTGTAAGATTTACATTAGAAAGAATGTGCGTGCATGTGTGCACGCTTTGGGCTAGATTTGAAGTTCTTTGTAACAGACCCTGGGATTTTAGAAATGAAAAATTTATGAATCCAAAGGATTAGGGATGTTTACATTTGGTTTATATGATTAGCTACTTGCTAAGAGAAAAAAAGTCATATATCACATTATGAGAGTTTGTGATATTTTCCCCTTTTATAATTCATTTTAGAATGAATTCTTTTTTGAATGCTACACAGTGATGTGAGTCATAGTAATTGGCTATAGTGCATAGCCTGTTTGTATTTATTGTGTTATTTATTTGTTTGTTTTATATTTCCCTAATTTGAAATTATAATCTCAAATCTAAACTTAACCCCTAAAGTATGTAATTGTTTTGAGCAATCTGTACTCCCAACACTAAAAACCAACAATGGTAGAAAGGTATTGTGTTGAACAGGTCTTTCACCACAAATCTTTTTTGTTTAGCTATTTCTCTTATATGCTATACTATGTCTACTAACATGTCATAGTGCAGCTGCATAAGGGCAGAAAAAGTATAAGAAAATATCCAAGTCTATCTGAGTTAGTGAGGGAACAGCTTAGTATTTGCTGTAACTTCTACAAGACCAAAAAGGTTAATATACTATATATATTTTATAACTTCCAGTATTACTGTTTGCAATATCTTATTTATTTCGTTCATTATCATATTTACCAACATTTTCTAGAAGTGAATTATTTATTTTGTTCATTATCATATTTACCAACATTTTATAGAAGTGAATTCAGATTAGTAAAAAAGAAAACAATAATACGGGCTTCTTGGAATACCATTATTAGCAAATATTTTAGATTAATTCTCAGTTACTCTTTGTTACTGCCACTGCTCATTTATTAATTCAATGAGAATATCCCTTGATTTCTTCCTCAGTCATTCTGTTTTGTTTTTTGGATACTAATACACCCAGGGTAGCTTTATGTGAAACTTTAAAGAGATATGATTAGTTATTTATGTTTATTAGCAACTAGGAGGATTTAGACAACATCCCAGAGACTTCTAAACATTGGAAATACTTTCAGGTGCCATGACTTTTATGTAAGCAAAATAGTGAAAAATAGTCATGTCTTTTCGTCTTGGGTACAATTATGCCTCCAAACAACAATAGCTATATATGGTATTTTAAGGGTTAAATAAACAAGTAGAGGAAATTAAGGAAAACATGTTTACATAGGTAGATGATGGTTCATGGGAGGATTGTTGATAACTCAAAATATACCGGTACAATATTTTATCATTTAAAATTGAGCCGACTGAGGAAAAATGTTCTTTTTCTGTGTGAGACTTTGTCTGGGGGTTGTAATGATCAGTTTTGATATCCCAGGTGGAAGTATCCACTAAATTAAAACAAGGGAAGTCAAAACCTTAGAGAGAATCCATGCACCAGAATGTCTTGGATAGTAAAAGAGCATTTTTATCCATCAGATACCTCTTTCTGGTCCGTAAGGGTTGGCTTCGAAGGTTGGTTATAGCCTGCAAAAGAAGGGAAGAGAACAGAAACAGAAATAAAGTATAGAGTAATTATTCACAAAAGACACAGGAATACCAACTTTAACTAAAATGAAATTACAGTAGACACAGGAAAGAGAACACTAGTAGAACAGACTTACAAGTAAGTAATGGAAAACAGTATGGCAATGGCAAAGTAATGTAAACAGAAAAAAAAGCATGGATGCCTCAGTTGAGTAGATAAACAGTTGAAAATAGGCACAATCGTTATCAAGCAGGCAATATCTTGAAAGATGTTTTTTATGTGTGCATAATTCATAAATGACTCACTCACAAGGGCCTCTAGCCTGATTCATGAACCCAGTCTAGTGCAAAAGTCACACCTAAGGAGGCCCTTGAGATTGGCACCGGATATTTAGCTTGGAGAGACAAGCTAGGGCTACTAAAGGTCAAAAGACACGGACTAGGTTAATAATATTTTTTAGCTCAGAAATTTGTGTGGAGTGAGTGATACTGATGCAGCCCATCATTTAACCCATTACCATATTTTGAAGCCCCCCCCCCAAGTTTCTGGGCGGCTACAAAATCGGCGTGCGGGCTGGCTCGAACTCTGCCCGTGCCCCGGCCGCGGCCTGCTGCTGCATCAGAGCGTGAGCCCCGATACAGTGTCACACTAGCGGGACGCCGTGCAATTTATTTATTTATTATTATTATTTTTTTTTTCTGGGTGTCATATGTGGGTCACCCATCATTACTGGGTTAAGGAATGGAAGAAAGTGGACAAGATTCATGTGGCCAGTGCCATGAGAAAGGCAGACTTATGAGGAGAGTCATTGGGGGATGGATTAGGGAGATAATGCAGTGGCAACAAAAAATGAAAAACTCTTTAAGTGTTGCACTTGAAGAAGAGGTTTATCACTATAGCAGACAGTCAAAGAAAGCCAGTATGCATTCATTCTCAGCAAATACCAAAAGTGAATTGCAAGGGAACAGAGATCAGTGTTATTAAGAATTGAGGTTATTAGAGGGTTAAGAAAGTACCAAGCCAAAAAGACACATTACTGTACTAGCTGTCTGCGCTATGAATATTACAAATTATGGTGAACTATAGCCATTGCTAAGGAATAGAAAAACATGTGTGTAGTAAGTCTGGTAAGAACCTCACCTTCCTCTAAGTGAGGGAAGCTGTATACTCACTTACCTCATGTAGGATGAACCACAAGTGTAGAGAAGTTATTAGCCTTGCTGTTATAAATAAGGGCATACCATGAGTGACCAGCTTATAAAGGGTAGCATTGGCAAAGAAATGAGATTGATGTAACCTTCGTACCCCACCTCAAGTGACCAGAAAGTTGATGGGCTTATTGTTACTATACTCCTTCACTCTTCCTGTATCTCCATCTCTGTCTCCACTTATTTTTATTATTTGAGAACTTTTGAAATATATCGTTTGGAAATGTCTATTTCTTCTATTTTTTACAAGTAACAGCATGAAAGATATTTATATCTTTACTCACTAATTATTTAATTTTTTCCTTATTATTTCAAAGATTGAAATAAGCCAAAGGAATATTGTAAATTGATGAAGTTCTTTACTTTATGAGTATGGTTACTAGCTATTCCTTTACTTTTTTATGTAGATTAGACACACCTAATTCAGGAGCAAAGATACTTTAATTCTTGTAATGCTTTTACTGTTTCAGGAATTGCATAATATAAAGACTGAGCAGTTGATAAGAATGATTATAAATATATAATATGTAATCATAAGGGCTGGATTGCATTAGGATGACAGAGTGAGTCCTAGGCTAAAATGGAGAACATTCCAGGTGTCAAGCTCAATTCCTTCTTGGCGGCTACTTAGATAATGTTGGCCACTTCCCACTTCCCATACCCCATGATGCAGAGAAGCTCAGGCAGGAAAATGTGTGCCCTTGATGGGATGAATTGCAAATGATATGCCTTAGCCATAATGAGCAGTGTTTTTGAGAGTAGTTTGGGTGAATTTTATTTGTTTTTATTAATATAGTTGTGTTTATTATAATGAGAGTATACAATGCTGCATACATCCAGTAGCAACATTTTAAACTCTCATGTAATGCCATTGGCATGATTTTTATTTAATAGTATCTTTTTCCAATTCAGATTTTTTTTTATTCTAGTGACATATATGAGTGACAGCTGATGTAGATAAAAGTAATAAGTGCATTTGTGTGAGTGAAGTCTTGTTGAACCATATTAACATTAGAATTTGGACATTTAGTCTTATGATGCTTATGACTTTGGTCATTATGCATGATGATTGCAGTCTCAACCAGAATTGTTTTCTTATATATATACTACAAGCACACATGTAGATGTATGTGTATAGTTTATACACTCTCATTCTCTCTCCTCTCCCCTCCTCCCCCTTTACACTACACATACACACACTACACACACTACACACACACACACACACACACACACACACACACACACACACACACACACACACACACACACACACACACACACACACACACACACACACAC